AAATCGAGCATACACGAGACACAGATCATAGTTCTTTTTATAACTGAGTGCTTAGTGATTCTACGTGCTACGTAGCTCGCCTTAGCAAGGATGGAACTTTGAGTAACGATTAGCTGAATGGAGTCCTGGGTACAACTAAACTGGTTTGAGAAGGAAACAAGAACTTGATAGAAAAACTCTCAATCAATAAGCAAATCAATGGACAATAGTCAAATACATGAAAAAGAAAAAACAAACACTTGTTACTACTGTACACTCTGGGAGGGGAAAAAAACAGCTTCTGCATGCTGTTAGTTCAATGCAAATACAAGGGTTTAAGACAGTTCCCATGGGGTATTATTCTTGATCTGGTTGCCTCAATTCCTTCCTTAGCTTATGAGAAAACAATCTACAAGCATCCATGCTTAAATCCATTGCAGCTGCCAACGCCACAAAACCTGCAGCATCCTCTGTGCAACTCACGTGCTGCGCCCCGATTTCAACTGCTGGTTTGCTGCACTTCCCGTTGCCTTTGACCGTGCATGACATTACAAATCCTTTATACAAGAGGTGTGCCCACGAACTGGACCCCTGTGTAGATCCAAGTTCCGAACCAGAACTAGACGCAGAACTGATGTCAAAGCTGCTATTAGGACTAGTCATTGGGGTCGGGCCTGTGGTTACGTCTATACTGAATTTGCCTCCAGTTTTCGTGCTAATTGTGGAATTGGCAAGTGGGATTGAGTCTATGCCGCCATCGGGGATGAGTTCAAAGCGGTAGCCGAGTTGGTCACCACTTTTGCGTTCACACCAGGCCTCCAGACGGCCCCAGGGTGTCCAGGTGTTGTGGCCAGGACGAAGAATTAGCCAAGCTCCAGGATTTGATCTGCTGACCCTATTGCTGCCCTGTGATGGCACAAATGGCGTCACCATTGATGCAGCAGCCACGGGTGAGCCTGAGAGGTCGTGAATAGTGATCGACCATCCCTTTCGCTCTTTTGTGGATTGTTCATCTGCTGTAGATGAACTAAAGCAGCTTGTTGATGTGCTTGGTTCTGATAGGGATGACCTGTTACAAAAAATGCAGCTTATATTAATTAAACAGCTGCTAAATAACATCGAATCATACGGAACAATCTGTAAACAAGAAAATGATGCCATACTATGATAAATTAACCACTAATCCAATTCTTGAACCATGTGATTAAGATCAGAGATAGCAAACAGAATAATTTACGTACTTGGATGATCCTTTACTGATTGTTAATCAAGAAGGCCTTAATCCCAACAAGTTTTAGGTCCACTACATGAATCCTTTCCTTTCAATTCGTTCAATACATTGATATATCTAATGA